CTTCCATGTCTAAATCATGTAGATAAGTTTTGTTTCTATGGAAAATTATTTATAAGATTTACCTCCCCTTAAATGCAATCTCCAGGCAGAGGAGGTAGAAAAGAGAAGAGAAGTCAAATGGAGGTCAAAACATGGTTTATCAGAATGGACTTGATGCAACTTTTTTGATCTATGTGGTCTGATCTTTTTAATCAAAATGACTTCCAAGATTTTTCTGATTAATTTGATACATTTATAAATGGAAATGGATGTTCATTTACAAGCACTGTCGACCAAATGCCCTACTGTGTGTGACTTTCATAATGGAGAATCTGATTGTAATTTTGCAAACACTTTTTATGTTTATGAATGTGACATAGATATCTTGAGTCATCTATATTCTCTACAAAGTGCGGAAATAATAGACAAGCATGTTTATGATGCTCACGTATGTCCTGAGTATATATTAATATTATATCGAAGTGGGTATTTCACGGTTGATAAAACCGTTCTTTCAACGAGAATATGTATAAAGCACCATGAAGAGTTGGGGGCACGATGGAAAAGACCCAAGAGAACCTGTTCCTAATGGTCATCAGGGAAACATGAAAGCAGACAGAGGAGCCAGTCCAACAATTTGTAAAGAACTCTGGTTAAATACAAGACAAATATTACCAATAGTTTCAGGTTGGTTATAATTATTATGAACCTAGTTAGTAGTTATCATATTTTCAATAAAATGATTATAAAAAAAAAAGTTGCATTGAATTATGTGTATGAAAGAAATATTTATTCCAGTAGAATAAATTTAGATAATAAATTCAAGTTAAGTTTAAAGAGCATATGTATACATGGAGTAATTACTAATTATACTATTTGTTAAGTATACATTAGCTAGCAATTTTCAGATTCAAAATATTGACATTTTGAGGAAAAAATTGAGTATGAGCAAGGACTTTGCAACATGCTTAATAATTTTATTACATATAAGACAAAATTCTTTGTTAGGTGAAAAGCACTTGTACATTTGTTGTAAAACTCGTGAAATTCTGAAACTAAAGTGCTGCATGTAATATCTCTTATGCAATAGTCCATTCTAGTTTAGTGCATTATTGCACATGCAACTTGTGCCATCCCTGACAAATTTAATTTTTATATCAAAAAAGAAGTATTTGTTTAGAAGATCACATTATTTTACTATCAGATTGGTGTGAACAAATTTGTTGGACTCGCCATAGAGACTTGAAAAGAGCTTTAGAAAGCAATCATGGATTGAAAGGAACTAAAGCTTGTGTTGTCTCCATTGACAATGCAGAGGAACCAAAAATAAAATCCCCAATCCTCCAGAATAGCCTTCTGAACAACTTCATATTTAATGTGGATTCAGTAATTATGAGAAAGGCATACCAGGTTGGTTGTGGAAGGCTCATCGAGACAAATCCCTTGAAATATCAACATCTTGATGTTAGAGAAATGAAGGGTTTCCAGGTATTTGTTATGATTACAAATCTATATAATAAATATACAATCACTTTTTTGTATGGATAAACAAATTTTTTTTAAATAGTTGTTTTTTTTTTTAAATTCTACAATATACAGTAGAATTTCTATTATTTTAGTTAAATATTACTAATGCATTATGGATTTTTCTGGTATAGGTTTTAGAAGAATTTCCGTCCCATGCAGTTGATACTGGACAAGTTCGTATGAGAAAAAGAAACTTTAACAACAGAAATGAAGCTGTCAGTGAGCAGGACCTGGATCAGAGACAACTGTACGATGAATTGTATTCATGTCCAGATCCCTCTTGTCAGAAACAGTATGTAAGGTCTGCCAATCTCGAGAAACATCTCACTCTGGGAAACCACCTTTACAGAAAAGCAGAGGAAACGGCGATTGATTATGGCATTAAAATCTGAAAATGTGTTAAATGTTGTAAATACGTAATTTTGTGTATCCATGGCAACCTATTTGATAAACATGTAGGTGTGAAAAGTTTATTTTCTGCAATTTTATTCTAATTGTTAAAGATATTTCTAAAGATACAAGTTACAATTCCAGCATTTCATGAAATGCACTTAGCATATGAATATATTAGCATATATGTATTTCTAATTTAAACACTTGATATTTTGCTTTGTTTGGTAACCATGGTAAACATTTTTATGGTAGCTTACATGCTATGTTAGTATAACATGTTCTTTTGTGTCTATTTCATAACACAAATAATAGTCCTTTTTAGTCAGATTATATATGTAATAGCAAAAGTAAAGATTTGAAGATTATCATGGGGAGGGGGGAGGGGATTTCAGAAAAATTGAAAAAAAAATGTAAAATGTATGATGTTTCCATGGCAACATTTACATATTTTTTTTCTGTATCTGTACACCAATGTTTTATTTTAAATGTTTGTAAATATTGGACTTGTTTTCATGATTTTCTGATAGAGGAGTAATAAATTGATTAAAGAAATTTTCATCCTTTTCAAAGAAAATGATAAAACTCCAAGAATATGGTATTTCCATGGCAACATGTTCTTTATATTTAAATGGCAAAAATAAATTTTTTAATATTTTTAAACACTTTGCCTTTTTATATAGAATATTTATTAATACCACACAATAATACTTTTTCCTGTAAAAATAAGTTTAATAAATAACAGCCATTTGATGTTTTTAAAGAAAACATACCAAGATGATATTGTTACCCATGACAACATATATGTTCTGCATTAAAATGTATTTAAGTTCCTTTTATGTAGAATTGTGTTACAGTTGTCCTGTTTGTTTTGAAATATTATAAAGTGACATGCTGAAACATTTCCAGTTAAATTATGATATACTAGATATGAGCTATTTTTACAATGTTTATTATGATTTGCAATACGTCAAAACATAGCACTGTTCGTGACCTCATATCTGCCCTATTTGAAAGAGTCCAAAGATAGATTTTTTATATCTTCCTAATTATGGTCTGTACTTACAGGTGTAATTACAATAAAACAAATCGCAGTGTTTACAGAATCTTTAAAAATACTTTGAAAGTTCATAAATATATGAATTTTTTGGAAATGTGAATTTTGGAAGATTTGTGACCTTTTTGTACTTAAACTGGATAAGTACTGAATAAATTTTACTATCCTGACTGATACTCTAGGCAACATACTTTTATGCCTATCAATTAATTTCAATGCATGAAATGTCATAATTTGTTGAGACTTCCTCAAATATGTCTAGATTCAATGATTTCAAGCTCCTAGTTTGACTACATGTTCTATTTTTAGTAACATGCCTCTAAGTCATGAACTAAGGCAACAATGACGAAAATATTTGTGGCAAATTTAATGGTATATCAATACTATATTGCACACAAAACTTGATATCAATACATAAACCCTGCTTGTGGACTGTTTTGCATGGTTTTCTCCGAGACGCTCACTTAAAGAGTAATGCAAAGAAATGACAGTAGAACTTTATTTAATGCTTCACAATGTGAATCATCTAAACAATAACATATTGAGTAAATCAGCACGATGTGAGATGAAATAAACAAACATATAAATTTGAGTACTTGTTTTATTGCATCCATCTTTGAGAATATTAAGGTGAAATGACAATGAAAGCTTATACTAATCAAATCTGATATATACTTCATAATTCTGTGAATCAAGAACTGAGTGAGTTCTTTCTGGATTGCTGAGCCATTGGAAAGCGTACTATAAGTACAATGACTTTGAACTATATACGTATCGAATCTTACACCTATATTACCTTATATCTCCACTGTGTGTTGTCAAATAAACAATAACATATAAATCTGCATGAGTTGTTTTTTTTTTATACCCCCTCTCCCCCCTCCCCCGCAAACAAAGTTTGGAGGGTATATAGGAATCACCTTGTCCATCTGTCTGTCTAACTCTGTCCATCTGTCTGTGCAAATGCGTCTGGTCCATAACTTTCTTACGGGGAACATTAGAATCTACAACTTCACACAGAGATTGTTCCTGACCTGAGGGTTTGTCATGACCTTGACCCAAGGTCATTTGGGCAAGTTCAAGGTCACTGAAAGAAAAAAGTAATAATTCAGGTCCAGTCTATGTCTTTCTTAAAGATAAACTTGGCGAGTTCCCATTTTACACAAAGATTGTTTATGACCTGAAGGTGTGTCATGACCTTGACTCAAGGTCATTTGTGCAAGTTCAAGGTCACTGTCAGAAAAAAGTTCATAATTCATGTCTGGTTCACAATGTTCTGTCTTCCTGATCAATACATAGGGCTCAAAGCAGTGTGCCCAGTCAACAGGGATGCTTACTCCTCCTTGGCACCTGATCCCGCCTCTGGAATTTCCAGGGGTCAGTGTTCACAGATGTTTGTTTTAGATCAACCACTATTCATTTTCTTAACTTTTTTCAAAGCCTAGCACTTTGATACACTTGGTCCATGCTGCATGATCAGCTTGCTCTATTTTCAGTCGGGGAAAAATATCAAAATTGAAAACAGAATAGGTATTTGTTCTACATGTACTGGACATAGTGTATCAAGCAAACTAAAAAATATTTTGAAATAACTGATTACTGTACATGACGTATGTCTGCAAATTGTCTAGATCTAATGATTATGCATTCTGTTTGTTGTATTACATGTACCTTCAGCTCAATTAATGTATTTTTTAAATTGGAGTTTATCGTTATTTTAAAATTAATTGAAAAATCTGTTTTACATTATAAATTGTTACTAGTATTTACGAGAAATTGTACTGAACTTAATTCTGTGTTTTAATGTTGTAACATTTTTAAAAACCTGGGAAAAAGAATGTATAGAGGTGTCATTTTTAGAATTCAGTCATGCTATCTCTTGTTTCAGACTGGCTTCATTGTGTACCTTGCGATATGGAAATATTGAATCAGCCAAGTTTTGATGAAAGTCTGTCATCCAATAGAAACACTATATTTAAAATATGCAATTTTATTAGCAAATATAATAATTAACAACACAAATGATTTTTTTTAAATATGCAGATATTTTTAAATTCAAGAAATAATAAATCATTTGGCACAATCATTATTAAAAAAGGCATTTTAAAGCTCCTGAATTACAATACACATACTATAATGGCCAATGCATGTGCTCTTAACATGTTGATCCCATATAGAGGTCATATGCCTGAAATCAACTGGGCTCAAAAAGTATATTAAAAAAAAAATCGAAAGACTTTCAAAATAAGTATCACAGAAATGTCAATGAAAGACTGCGGCAGTAGTCCACTAAAAGAATGTTCCAAATTGAATGTCCAAACATTCCACAAATATTCAGAAGTCTGAATTTAGAAGAAAGGCACAGACACCACAAAGCAGTGAGAGCCAGAAGTGACAAGAATCTCTGGTCCATAGAAATTGTCTGCTTCCAACAGAGTAAAACTGTCAGGTGACAAGTCATCTAGTAACAGGGTTGTGTTAACCACTGGTCTGTAGTCCTCTGGAAGTGTCTGTCAAACATATTTCATAACTAATCAGTTTGCTAATCTCAGATGAAAATTGTAATATAATTTTTTTAGTAATAAATAAAAACATAAAAGGCACAATGTATGCAATACATTTGGGACAGTTTTGCACATACATGTATGTAAATTTGCAGTTAAGTAGCAGGGATGGGGTAATTGAGATGAGTAATTGTAATTTACTGTATTTAAATACATTTTTTCATACTATAAATTGAAAGTATTTGTAATTGAGTTTGCTTTCAATTACAAGTACATGTAATTGATTGTATTTAAATACATTCCAAAAATGTCATGTATATTTCAATTACATTTCAAATACTTTATTCTTCAAGTTACATATTAAAAAACATTTTTTATCATGATGCATACCAAGTACTGTTTGGCATGAGTTTGTGTTTATTCAATAATTAAATGCCTAATGTTTATACAACATAAACACACTGCCTTGGGCAACAGGAAAGGTGAAATTTAATAATACTGCTGCTTCAAAATAATCATGTACATCTGTTCTTCAAAATTGTAATAATACTTAATAGGTAGTGTCAGGCTAACTCCTTTTATAAACAATTTTATCTCAGTAAAATGTGTGAGCAAAATTAAAATACCTTTCTGATAGAAATTGGCTCTTCTTTGGACCCAGAGTTCAGTTGGCTACATTTCTCAATGACCTTCTGGACAGTACTCCCAGACAAGGACTTATGCTGAAATTATTTTACACATTATTTATTTGCTTTTTATTCAAGATATTTGAAATATTGTATGTTCTTTCACACACTGTTAATTTATCGTTTCAGTTTTTTACCTTTTGTTCCATTGCAGGCTGCTTTAATGTCACAGGAGTTCTCAATGATACAACACTTTGTGGTTCCTTTTGTTTAGGATTTGAGTTCACAGTGTCCATTGCTTTTTCCTCAGCAGTAGTAGCTTGTTTAGGAGTAGAATTAGCTCTATCCTTATCATTTTTACCAGCAGTGGTTATTTGTCTAGGTGTGGAATCAACACTTTCCTTGTTATCATCAGTAGATTCCCCGTGACCCTGAAAACAATCACACCATGCGATATCAAACTTGCTTTTTCAATTCTGAATTTTACTTCTTGACCTTTATTGCATTGATTTCAGATACATGTATTTATTACACCTACCTGTTTTTGTCTGTTGAGGATCCTCATAATTCTGGCAACATAGGGAGGGTATTCCACTGGGTCTGTTTGAACTTTGGGTGGAACAACAATGCGTTTGACTCTCTTCTAGAAAATACAAGAAGACATTGCAAATTCAAACAATGAATTTTGCAAGATTCAATCAATTCAGATACTTTATTTGATAAAGTTTTAAATTACCTTGCCACCTTTCTGAGTTACAGAAGTTGGGGCAGAATTCTTACTCTGAGTCTGGTGCAGTGTTGCTTCCATTTGTTTCCCAGTGGTCTGCTGCATGGGTCTTCCATCCATTTTAGCCAGATTTCTACTACCTTTAGCCATTGAGCTGTTAGAAGCTTGTTTGCTCTTATCTGCATTTGCATATTGTTTTTGAGAGACATCTGTAGGAGTCTTTTTCCTTGACTTTTTTGTTTTGGTCTTTGTTTGTGCCTCCATTGGTGCCACACATGTGGGTACACTCTGTGGGCTCAAACTCCATGATTCCTGATTCAAAAAATATTTCGTATTTCTCTTATTGAAAATGTTTACTGATTTACAGCTCAGCAAAAACACTTAATTAAAACATTAACAAAAATTAAAATAGAAAAACTTACAAGCTGAGCAGCAGAACACCTCTGGGAATAGCCAGCTGATAGTCCAGTTGTTGCCACATTACAAGTGGGTGTCTCTACAGGTGAGTAATTACCGTCCCCATAGATTGTTTGGGTTGGCAGATAAATGGTCTGATCATACACTCCAGCAACTGATGGAACACTGATGATGTTGGTAGGAACTTGTAGTTCTGTTCTCTTAACCCATTCATGTGGCACAATGGTTGGAGTATAGCCTTGAACCTCAACATTTGTAGGTAAAATCTGCTTATTTAAAAAAAAAAAAACAAAGTTAAGGGTTATTCTCAAATAATTTTACATTTTGTGTTTCAATTTTTCAATATGATACTTGGTGTTTTTTTAGTACAAGAAAATATTATCAGTATTTGTGTAAAAATATAACAAGGTAATTCAGAGAAGTTATATCCACTGCTTAAGGACCAAGTAAAAGGACTGAAGACCTAAAATATCAGATGGAGAAGGAAAAAAAGAATTGACCTTGACCTTTCACTTTTTGTCCTAAAATCAATAGGGGTCTTTTTTAAGTTAGAAAATCATCACCTTAGGTATCATTGCTAAAGCTCAAACAGATCTACAGCTTTCATCTGGAAACTACTTAATGCAATACTAGTATATGACTTTGTGACTTGGACTGTGACCTTAAAACCAATATGAGTCTTCTTTAAGTCAACAGCAGTAATGATATAAAATTTCACTGCAGCTTTCATCTGGAAACTACTTAATGCAATACTAGTATATGACTTTGTGACTTGGACTATGACCTTAAAACAATATGAGTCTTCTTTAAGTCAACAGTAGTAATGATATAAACCTCAAAGAGAACTTAAGTTATCATCTGAAAACATGAATTTCTGATCTTGACCTCTTACCATTTTACCTCAAAACCAGAAGAGAACTTGTTTAAATCATAGAAAATTCTGATGTAAATTTTCACAAGATTGCAAAAGAACAAAGAAAACTTATCATCTGAAAATCATTTATACAGTGTATGACTTATGACCTCAAAATCAATAGGGTCTCCTTGAGTCAAAGGTAGATGTTTTCAGTGCACGCATCATTCAGAACTTTCCATATTTGAAAATCAAATAAAAATGATCTCTTGTAAATACATGTTTCTTAAACATGGGATGCAAGTACTTACAAGTTCATTTGCAGAGATTGGCTGTTGTGGCCCTGCCTTTGTCAAAGTTGGATTTAGAATGTGGACAGCAAAAGCATTCTGAGCTGAGGGATGGATATTTCCCTGGCTGTTTAAGACCAGCTGTTGTACAGTAGACTGATCGTTGTATTCGGTTTGCTTTTGCAGTACAGTCTCCTGAGATTGCTGCTGGATGGACATCCATGGTAGGGTCTGTCCTGATCTCAGTACATTCAAGGTCAGTTGTGGATGCACATTTGTGCAATCAGTCTACAGAAAAAGAAAATCACAATTGTATTAAAAACTACAGGTACTTTGGACAACCTCACAAATTTATGCTCCCTACTACATTTTTAAGTGCCTGAGAACATGCTTTAAAAGTGACCTTGAACTTGCCAATGACCTAGGTTAAGGAAATGACACATCCTCTGGCCAAGAATAATCTTTTCTTGGAATATGAACTTTTAAAGTTTCACCATTAGAAAGTTTTGGGTGAGATAAAATTTTACACTTTTTCTGACAGTGACCTTGAATTTATCTAAATGACCTAAAGTCAAGATCACAGCATACCCTGTGTCATAGTAAACCTTTGTGTAAAGTATCAACTTTAAATTTGTCTCCATTAAAAGAGCTAGGTACATTTTTTCCTGCTAGTGGCATTGAACTTGGCAAAACAGCATTGGGTCATGGTCATTACACACTCTTTGGTCATAAGCAATCTTGTGTTAAAATAGCTTTCAATTTCAAGATACACATGCATCAGAATGACTGGAATTACATAATTTTCTAAAAGACCTTGAACTTGACCAAATGACCTTGGGTAAAGAACATGACACATCCTTGGGTCACAAGCTAACTATTTGTATGTAAGACATGAATTTCCAATATCTCAAATCTAGAAAGTTTACACCTTTTCTGTCAGTGACCTTGAACTTAAGATTACATTGAATAAATCATGACATATCCTCATGTTATATGCAATCCATGTGTCATGTATGAATTTTACAAAGTTATGGCCCAGACATGATTGCAAAGACAAATGGACAGATAGACAGACAGATAGACAGACAATGGTGATTTCTATATGCCCCCCCCCCCCATCTTTGTTTGTTTTGGGTATAATTAAAAAAGCACATAATGAGACTAAAAGTTTATCATGCATTAGGCCATCTTTAAAAACTTGCTTGGTTGCCCTCTCTCGACCGACTTACTAAAAATGACCCTGACTCAAAACGTTTTTTTCCAGGTAACCATTATTTTTTTTATGCATTCCGGAAAATAAATATTGAAAATTTGGCATTGGTGTTGAAATTTTCTGGGGAAAAAAATTTCCCACCTACCTCACCCATTTTTTTCATCCTGAGTTGGCAAAAGGCAAACAAACATTATTTGAAAGTTGGCCTTAGTCTAAGTTTTGTCTACATACCTGTTGATCTATCCTTGTCCCTGGTTGAGAAGGATCAGGGTTGACTGCCTCAGTGCTGGTGACTGAGCGACCATTAGGAAGAACTGTTGAAGTTATGAATTGTTGTATTTGTTCATTGCTCAACAGAGGTTTTGCCACCTGAAAACAATGCAGATATAAGTGTAAACATGAATATATTCAACATTGGTCTATATTTATTTAGAATATCAGTATTCTAATATTGATAGGGGCTATAAGACTAATTTATAATTGATTTTTTTTGTAGCAAACAGGGCTTATAAGATCCCTTTGAGTGACCTTATTAAAAATTAGCAGAAAGCAAATAGCAGACCCGTAGAATACTCCTCCCTTTTTTTCTGAGTATTTTGCTATATAGTGAATTTTCATTTAGATATTGGTTCCCCCCCCCCCCTCCACACACATTTTTGTTGCTGTAAGGTCGAGCACCAGCAAAATCCAAGATTCCAAGATCCCCACTTTTGAAACCATTGCATGGTATATAAAAATTGAGGACACCATTTGATGTAACTTACTCCATTTGTCACCACTCTGCCAGCTGTACGAGTGGACCCTATGTTATGAAATACTGCTTGACTGACAGCTTGAATATAACGCTTTCTTGGTGGCTCAACCTGTGATATAAAAATATTATATACATAACAAATGTATGAGGGTCCATTTCTAGCAAATTCAGTCAAAATCGAATGCAAAGTTGAAACAAAAAATGGCCAAACAATATATAGTTTAAATATAGAGGATACTGGAAAAGAAACAGATCGGATTGAAAGATAATCAGAAGAAAGATAATAGAAAAAAATTCCAGAGAAGAAATAGATGAAAGGAAAGTTATATTTTTAATTAACTTACTTCTCTACACCAATTACATATAACATATATAACAAAACTGAGACCTCCTCAATTCCCCCGGAAGTGGTGGGTGTGGTCAAGATGTCCACTCCCAGCCTCTTGTAAATACTCGAGGCAACTTCCGGGTTGGGATACTGAACATCCATTCTCTTCTGAAATGAAGAAAAAAATACTAGTATTTGAACAATTCTGCTACCTCATGTCTAAAATTTAAATACATACATTTATATGTGGACCAAAATTGTTTGATACTTATCATTGATTTACTATTTTACAGCAATTTACAATTTCTAAAAAAAAAAAATAAAAAAGAAATAATAATACTATCTCATCTGAGGACGACATACATAAATAATATATAATTTAAAATTTTTAATATTCAAAGATGTAAATAAACCAGGGCTATTTATGGTCTATAACATTGGGGCCACTGAAGGGTCCAATTTCCAAGTTTAAACAGTTAAAGAAAAAAAGGTACATTTTTCTCCATATACAGTGTAGTCATTACCTCCCAAATATTTGGATATTGAATATCTAATAACTTTACCTTGCTTCTCAGGATCATGTACATTGCAAAACAGAAATATAGTTGATAACAAGCACCAGAGACATACATAACACTATAATAATCATTTACTTATGTCTCTGCAAACACCAGAATTAAAAAAAAAAAACAATTCGAGGGGTTTTAAAATACAATATTTTTTCCAAAATGACCCAAAAAATTACTAGTTTACTGCCCTAACCCAGAACCAAGAAGTGAATTTTTAAAGCCGGTCCGTATACAAGTTTTGAACCCTTTTGCTGTACTGTATGGTTAAAGGGGAACAACTCGAATTACTCACTGTTCAAAGCCCCTTTGTTATGTTGGTCATATCAAATCATTCTTTGAGGTGGTTTTGTTGTGTATTATTTTTTTTAAAGTAGGGATATTAATTTTATTACTTTAGATTAAGAATTACAAATATTTTGGCCTGAAAACGTTGATTATTGTCTTCCTCGGATTCTTGACTACAGTGTAGAGGTACTCTCAATTTTTTTTTTCATTCTGACAGATATAATTTCATATTCAATTCAGTACTTAGAATAATCTTCCATTTTTTTTTCTTTTTCTTTTTCTTTTTTATTTTTGTTTTTGTTTTTTTTTTTGTTTTACTGGGAATTGTAAAAAAAATATTAACACCAAAGACTGACTCTATATTAAAAAAGACTCTCTATCTAACGTTCGAGGTTTTGAATATCTCTTCCTAGCAACACATTTAACTAATCTTTTCACCACAAAAGAAGAAATATATGACCATTACCCTTTTATAGCCCTGACTGTTCATTTCTGTAACTGTATCGACTGTATGCTATGAAATAGTTCAGAAAATCTTCGCTCAGCGAAAATCACGTCTTATCTCAACAACTGATGCTGAAACAATGAGCTGTATCCAAAACACATCAAACAGCCTAGCGATCATGACGTCATCACCAAGACGACAACCAATGAAAAACTAAAGGCGAAAATATGAGTCTAATTTTAGCGATCGGAATTTCCTGAGAAGTAACTGCTTAAGAAAAGTTGATTCTTTGATATATGTTGCCTACTTGCACATCTACGAACCTTACTCATCTGTTAAACATCTAAAGCTGTATCCATTTCACATCATATCTTGGATAAAGGTTTCTTTGTCAACAAGAAGAAAGGAACCTTGTATGATGTTCCAGTCCACTATCAATTTAGTTATGGCTTTTTGTCAGTCCACTCTCAATTTAGTTATGGCTTTTTGTAACACTCCGCTTGTCGTCTGCTATTTTGCTCTCTACTTGGGAAAACTACATCGTTTTGAGTTATCCTTCTTGCATTAGTAACGCACATATGGAGTTATCCTTCTTGGATTAGCAACGCATGAGTTCAAAGGGAAGTAACCCTGGCACTATTGTATTCATTTTTAAGAGTTTACAAGTTAAAAAGTATTTTATGCGTTACCTGTTTATTTCATGTATACATTTCTGTTGTTGCAAATTTAAATGTGCTAGTTGCTAGTTTGATGGACTACCGATTGAGACTGGTAGGTTTTATAGCTTTTTTTAAAATTTAGAAAAACTGGGTAACTTTACCCCAAGATTTATGCAAAAACATATTTTCAGTTTTTTCTGATCTCAAGAATTGTCAGGTTACAGATAAGTAAGTACTTTTAAACAACGAAATTATCTTCCAACACCTGTAAACTTTTGTAGACATGTCTGTTATTATATCCTAGCTCAAAATTTTATCATTTTTGTATTTTTAAGCCTCATGTGAGGCCTTAATTAAATAAAATGTTCAAAAGTTTTCCCCAATAAGTTGTTAACAATTCATAATACCTGTGAAAATTAATTAAATTTAGGCTCGGAATTTCTGTTTCGGGGGGGGGGGGGTTAAAAATATTTTCCAAATTCCATTGAAAAATTATAGAGTTTTCTTTCTTTCTTTTCCCAAATAAAATTTTGTAAAGAAAAAATCATACAAATATCTTTTTAAAAATGACAACACATTCAAATATGTTTTAAACTTTAGAAAATTGACTTACAGTAAGGCGGCGGAACAAAACTGTCGTCTGCAGTTCTTTCACAACTTAGGACTTAGGAAAATCATCTTAGTGAGGTACCGCTATAATGTTAAAAATCCATCTTTAATATATTAAAAAACAGGATCCCTCCCCTCCAAGAAAATGAGACCCGGATTCAATCAGTCCAAGGGGAGGCTTTGAATAGAAGTATGTTTCAAAGAGAGACAGTACAGAATTACTGAGTGTATAAAATGGATTAACTCAAAATTGCACAAACATCTACGTTACTAATGAAAGTTCTGCAACGTAAAGAAAGGAACTAAAGAAGAAAAAGTAATAAATGTACACAAAAATGTAACATGTATTTTGTACTCGAGTATTTACGATATAATTTTCCTAACTTTTAAAATCATTTATTTGATGCTTAATAAGATTTTTATGTTACGCACTACAACATTAAAAATTGTCTAGCTTGCATGAGTAACTTAGTTATGATACATCAGGCCCGTAGGAAGCAATTTCAGTTTGGGGGTAGGGGTGGGGGGGGACAACCATACATTTTTAGTTGGGGGGGGCACTATCAACTACCATAAATTCCTTGACAAGCAAAAAAAAGGGCCTCAGACGTTTTTATTGAGGGGGCACAAACATAGTAACTATGTTCTCTATAGTAATCTTTATATCGGCAAAATTATTGGTGGGGGGGGGGCACGGCCCACCGTGCCCCCCCCCCAAGTTCCTACGGCCCTGTACATGTACATCATAATCCACAGAAATTTGACTTTACTATATTTGTTACACCATATAAAATTTTATAATGTTTGCAATATCGCCCCCCCCCCCCCAAAAAAAAAACTGTCATTTTTAGCTCACCTGAGCCACACGCTCAGGTGAGCTTTTCTGATCAAAAAGTGTCCAATGTCCGTCCATCTGTCTGTCTGTTGTGTTGTCTGAAAACTTTATACATTTTCGATTTCTTCTCAGGAACCATTGGGCCAATTTAAACCAAAGTTGCCACAAAGTATATATTCACAGGAAGTACACGTATCACACCCTTTTTCAAGAGGAGTTGATTAAGACTTTGTGAAAATTTGGTGGCAATTTTAAAAAATCTTTAAGTTAGTTCATACATGTGTCATGATCCCCGGTGGGGGGGGGGGGGGGTGGAGGCGGGACCACAACAGGGGGTCTAAGTTTTTCAACGGAATCTACAGAAAAAAACAGCAAAGCCATGCTCAGTCATATTAATATAGAAGCATCCTCAGGTAGTATAGATTCAAGTTTGTTCAAATCATGACCCCCGGGGGTAGGACAGGCAACAATAGGGGATTAAAATTTCTCAAAGGAATCTGTAGAAAAAATCTTTAAAAAATTCTTCTTCTAAAGAACAGTAAAGCCATGATTAGTTATTTTAATATAGAAGCATTCTCAGGCAGTGTAGATTCAAGATTGTTTAAATCATGACCCCTGGGGATAGGGTGGGCCACACCAGGGGATCAAATATAATATAGGAAATATCTTTGAAAATCTTCTCAAGAAAGGCAAAGTCATGATCAGTCATTTTTATTTTGAATCATTTTCAGGTAGTGTAAGTTTGAAGTTTATTTAAATCATGACCTCTGGGGATAGGGTGGGGTAGAAATGGGAGGAATGGGAAATCAAAGTTTAATATAAGAATGTAAAGGAGAAGTCTTTAAAAATCTTTTCCCCATGAACAGCAAAGGCATTGTTAGTCATATTCACATATGGCTGGATCCTCAGATAGTGTACAGTACCAACCAGACCCAACCTGACAGAGAGCAGTCCCGGGGACTGCTTTCTGGGACTGCTATTTAAAGCAGTCCCACAGGGGTCCAAGAGCAGTCCCACAGCGGTCCCAGCAGTCCAAGATTACTGTTTCGTCTATTTAATTCAATCTTTCATTAAAAGTTAATCTGAAATTTAAAAATATATGAAACCCTCCGATTCTGACATTTTGGCGCTATGCTGTGCAGTGACTATTCACGCTTCGAATACTGTGATTGGATGAATATATTTACCTCAGCCAATGGCAAATCGCATTTTGAAAGGCTTGTGAAAAGTTTAGTTATAGTTCTTTTATTTTTTCAGTGACTACTAATACACTATCGGCGGGAGAAATAAAAATAGGGACTTTTATTTTAATTTCATTTTAACCCAAATAAGGGTCGGTGCTCCCTTAAAGCAGGGTATAAAAAAATGTTGGTCTAAATAATTATTATAGAATTACATTTCCTTAAAAAAATATTTTAAAAATTTTACAATTTTAGTAAAATTTTATTTTTGAATGTTCATTTTGTCTACTCTATATTTAAGTAATTTAGAATTAAATTTTTTTGGAAATCCTCAGAGTGCTATGCTTTGGGGCTTGAAATTGTACGTGTAGATAACTTGGTATATTCAAAATTTAACGCAATCTCTGGGTATATGGAGTCGTTGCTGTAATCATAAATTAGCGCAACACATGTCCATATCGTGTGTTGTATACTGAAACGCAAAAGAAACGCAACATCTTTATTTTAAGGGGAAAATTATATACAGGTTATAACTTTATACTTAAAAAGTTAGGACATCTTCAACTTTGCCAAATCAGTAATTTA